GAAAAAGAAAACAAGCTTTGGTAAAATGTGTCAGCAGGACTGAAACCTTCAGGTGTTGGATCGAGCTCCACTTACTCCTTAGCCAAGCCTTTTATAGTAAGATACATTAATATTAATTTTAACTACTTTATTTAGTATAAATTGTATTTATTTTATTTTGAAGCTTTCTTGAGTATCTAGTGGCAAAAATGTAGGATATATATCAAAACAACCAATAAACAATTGGTTAAAAATGACAAGTTGAAGTCCAGGAATCTCAATGATGGCTATTGGACCTGCTGTGCCTCTAAATCCATGTGTAAAACAAACTTTGGAATTTGTCCTAGCATAAATATCCCACGCTGTTAGGAGAAAGGGTTTTGTAGATGGAAGATCAAGAGTAGCTTCAAAGGTTGGACTGAGAAGGAAGATAGTAGTTAAAATGGACAAGCGGTTACAGAATTGTGTTGTTAAAATAGTTGCTGTTTTGATTTTCTCCATTTCCAAGGGGGTTAGAATCAAACCGATCTGGACACTCCTGAGACACTTCTACATATCATAACAGATTATGTACATGCATTCTCTTATTCTTTCCCTGCATAACCTATATGAGAGAAATTAACTTTTTCAGTAATACAAAGGATTTCGGTCCTTTTACTTTCATCTCTTTTTTTGGTACGTTCATCCCAACATCAAGACCAAATTATAAACTATTTGTCACCAGTAACAATACTATTGTAATACCTTGTTCTATGAGGCATGTACCTATTTCTTTCCATTCTCCTGACAGCTCTAGGAAGGCCAGATTGAGACAGTCAGAAAAATTGATAGGAGATAATATAGAAAGAGACACTTACTGTAACTTGGGCAATAATGTAATGTTGCAGAGGCTTTATTGCTACGGTTATTATAATTACTAATATACTAGTATAACTATACATTGCTTTGATGTAGTATCTAGAATGTTCAGGGGAGGAAAAAAGTTTCCTTCTTCATTATTCTCCTCACTCACAGGGAAAACTACTTCTGCCTTACACAGTTCTGAATGGTGTGTTAGTAACTCTCATTACTCTGCTAATTACATTTCAAGCACAGAGAGAAAGTGAAAGCTGGTTGAACAAATCCGATGGTAATTAACATGTGCATGAGATTTCCTGTACTTTAACAATAAACTTATTTACCTTACTTTATGGAAATAATTGGAAATAATTTTAATTTCCACTATCTTTATTTTTTCCCCCAGTGCCATAATGGAACACAAAGAATTGTTAAAAGTTCCCTGGGACTGGCAAATAGGTAAGACTGGAAGTTGCTTTGCTACTGGTTATTGTTCAGAAAATAAATTACATTTGAGATTATAGGCATTGCTGAAAGGAAAATGGTGGTAACATCCTTGTTCAGCTCCATATAGGCCTGAGGACAACATATCATGAACTTATCTTTTTTGCAGCCTATAATGAATTCAGCATAAGTTGAAAAGTTGCTGGCTGGGCCCATCAGTACTGGCTGGGTCCATAAAGCATGCTTGCTTAGCATGTTGTATGAACCCAGCATTGGGTTTTCTAAATCATAGTTTATGATTTAGTGTGATGTGGAAACCACATCACTGATAGGTTTTTGCCTTGAGCTGGGCAAAGGGCAACTAGTTAAATTTGTATTCCCATCAACAAGAATGAAATATTTTTGTATTGGCAAATTACTGTGGTAGGCAGTAATGGCTTTGTGTGGTACGTAAGCCATCCATGGTTGATTATAAACCATAGCATACAGTTTCACTTTGTTGCTTTGCCCAACAATGGCTAAGTGGTCCACTCCCATTTAATTCACTCTGTTTATGAAGAAATTAAAAGCAAAGCAAACAGAAATTGAGAGGGGTGTGTGTGTGTGTGTGTGCATGCGCGCTTTCACATTTCTTATGGGATGGGCAAGGAAGAGCTTGCCTTACTTTCTAAGAGTTGGCTAGATGTGGTCTTTCTGCGAGTCATTCTTTCTCTTTTCTCTTTCTTGATTAAATGAACAGTCCAGTGTGTGCTTTTAACGTTAAAACAAGAAAAAAAAAACTAAAATTAAGACAGACAACAACTCCCTACTTGGCTACCTTCTGCAAAGTAAAGTGACCTCTGTTTCTCACCACCACCACCCCTTGAGATTTTTAAAGAAAATCTTTTACACCTTGTACAAGAATTGGGAAAAAATGTGGAGGGGGTGTGTTGCAAGGAGTAAATAATGTTCCTATTGCAAAGAACAGGATTCAACTGCAAACAGGTCATTACTGGTATGTGAATCCAGACAAGGTTTGATAAATTTTTCTTACTTCTACCAGCAAGGGGAAGAAGGCTACTCATTTGCTGTTTATACCTGAAAGAGTGGGTGATACACAGGCATTCGTTCCTGACCACCCAAATGATAAAACCTGCATTGTGATGTCATGATGCAAGTTCCATCCTTTCATGTCATGATGCCACATGCAAGTATGTAAGAGGTGGACTTTGAGTTATGACAATGCAGCACATGTTTTGTCACTTGCCCCCATTGCTTCACCATAGATGCCCATGGGATGAAGGGTTGAACTTTGTAATTCACACAAGAGAATGCGAATGTACCTTATGAAGGCTCTTCTCTGGGATCTAAGCTGTGATGGAAATTAGATGGGAAAAAGCCTGTGGATCCCAGAATAAGTCAGTGGGCCATCCATTCTATAGTATCCATCCATTGGTGTGTAACAGATCATGACAGTACACTCAGAAGAAGCATCAGAGTTTCATTAAAAGCTATAAGTCAGTAGAGTTAATTATTCTAAAACAAACATATAAAACTAATTTTGACAGCTACTGTCAAAGAAGGAAAGGAAGAGTAAGGCCAGTGATAGATCTTTCTCTTTCCCAATATCTTTACTAAGAGAAAACCTCAAAGAAGACAGATGGGTATCATGTCCTGTGACCTTCCTATTGAATTTCACCTTGGTACTAGTCCAAATATTTCTTTTTTCAGTTGAAAAAACCAATGTATGTACAAGAGCATTTCTGTGCTAAACAACCGGTTTTCTCTATAAGGATCATTATTTAAGAATTGCAGTAAAGATGGCATTTGATACCTGTAATGATGAAACCATCTAAGAGAAAGCTATAAATGCCAGATAATGTGGAAGGGCACATTGAGCACAGATGCACTTATAATGAGGAGTGAGGTAGGTAATATGCTGATAATGCATCAACAGCTCCTGGTTATTTTCCTTTCAGAATGAATATCAACAGCAGCAGGTTCAAAAGCTTCTTCAGTTGACTAGTGACAGAGGGAATATCTGAGGAGTGCAGTTATAAATGACACACTAGCCCATTGCTCCCATTGGGCATTTCCTCACCATTTCTCTAATTATCCCCACACCTTAATGGAGCAGTGCACATTTGCTGTTATGCTCAGTTGCAAAAATCTTCCTGTTTTTTTTTCAGTATGACTCCTAAACTGAACACAATCAATGTAAAGCATGACTGGTCTTTTTTATCAAGCAGTTGAAATTTTTACAAGGTTTCTGGGACTCATCTCCCTTTTAGGAGGAAAGGAGGGAAATACATTTCGTGGTGTGAATCAACTAGCCAGCAGCAACAGCAGCAGTCTGGTTTCTGAGGCAGAGATCTCCAGTTCCACCAGTCCTGCAAACAGGTCCCCTCTCAAGCATCTTTTGCTGTAGTTCCCTTAGCAAAAGCAGATGCTTCACCAGAAGAGTGCAGTGGATTGGCCTGGGGCTCGCTGATCCTGGGGCTCCGTTTGCACATTAGGCTAAACCAGTGGGATGCAACTTTTTCTGGGCCAAGGGTGAACAGAAGCTAGGATTAAAATGAAAGTCAAGGTCATTTTACTTACACATATTGGAAATATCATTCCAACGATGTATAATTAATATTACTATTTTTTCCTTTCTATCACTTTAAAATCGATAATATGGTAACAGCTTTTGGAGGTTTCCAGGGACCACCCGCAAGGTTTGGGGCTATCTAGGTACAGCTCTGAGATACAGTATGGTTTAACATGATCTGCAGAAGCGAGGCTGCTCCTCTCCCTTTCCCTGATTGCCCTGCCCAGCTCAGCAGAGCACTTTGAAAGCTTGTGTTTCTACTTTCAGTTAATCCCAGCTCACCACAGTTTCTCTGTGATGCAGAACTATTATGATTAACTGTGCTTAATTTCAGCATGCCGGAGTTTCTGGTAGGCTTGCTGGAAACTTAGATAGCATTAACAGCAGGTTATTGGATAGCACAGCAATGGAGGTAAAACAAAAGCTTTCTTCAGCTTTAAATTGTGGAGGATGATCTACTCTAACCAGGTTCAGCCCAATGTATGAGACCATGTAAGGAGAACCTCCTCATTGTCCCACATTTCTGAGAGGTGAAGGGAGCCAAAGCCAGAAGCTTCTGCATATGGTGTCAGAGCTCTGGCAGAGTTTCATGGTGGAGATCAGGCTAGTCCCCTCCTGCTGATTTTCAAGAAGATGTTAAAAAAGAAAGTAGTATTTTGGAGAGGTTTTTTTTTTTTTTTAAACTAAGTACTTGTGCCGCCTTTTATTCCTTTTCATTTACATTTACTTTTCTGGTATTTTATTTTGATTATGTTTTTTGGCTATATTATATCTTTTGGTTGTGAGGGGGGTGTTAATGATTATTATTTTATTAGTGTTTTTAATCACACTATGGATATTTTTGTTATTTTTTTAATATTAAAAATACCATGCACATCACCAAGAATCATTGGATTTCAGTGGGATAGAAATACAATAAAAATGGAGCAGAAAGAAATTGTGAACTTAAATATAGGAACCCGGGGAAGCCATGATGATGTCAGAAGGATATTGCATGATGACATCTTTGTGCAAATGACATGAATTGCATACTTGCATCATTTTACATCATGAAACACATGGTGTTGCCCACCTCCTTTGACTTCCTTGCAGACACTCATAACCCAAGGTTTGCTTTGTATATTCTTGTCAGTGTGCATTACCCTCAGTCATGTTTTAGCATAATGTCTAAGCCTAGCTTATGACTCTCAAAACCAAGAAACTATGTCTGTTTGTGTGCTACAGATCAGGCAACAGATCAGTTTCTGGCTTGTGAGGACTCTGCCTTTAGTTTGCCAAGGCTCCCTCCCTTGGCCTTAGACTCAGAATTCCACAAGAAGCGACCTTCTCTACTCAGCCTCTCACCCTTTTCTATCACAAAAGATTCTGTTTCACCTTTGCAATAGCTCAACAGCTTTCTTTGAAACTAGGAAGTAATGGGATATTGTGAGAAGGGAAGTTTAAATGTTCTCTCCCAAAAATCTCCCCATCCCCACCCCACTCCCCAGTGTACAGTAAGTGCTGAATAGGTACTGTGTGCTGGAAGATGGATGACTGCATTTTAATGGTGTCCACACTGGACTTGAATAGCATCCATCAGTTCCACCAGTAGCTTGATCCCTAAACCAAAAGGAAGGTAGCTCTTGAAGAAAAAAAAGGAGTCCTAACCTTGCTGTAAATAGACTTTCATGTGTCCAAGTTACTGAAAGTAATTACATTGCCTTAGCAAATTTATAGTATATTTGTTCTTGACAAGTCTTCTGGAAAAATGATGTGAGATAAATCACACAATGAAAGAATGAGTATCATTGGGAATTTGCCTAGTTATACAGATACTGTCTGCAGGAACTGAGAGATGTTGCCTCTTGTTGATCTCTTTTTTGTTGCTAATACTTGTGTATAATTTCATTGCATTGCTTTTGAATTTCTGTCATTTGCATTTAGTTCTAAATATGGAAATACTGCTATTTGTGTGAATATAGTATATATTATTACTTTACTCTTATCATTCTTGTTTTAACATGGTACAAATTCTGTTGCGTATTTGCCTATCCAAGAATATCCAAGTTAGGGAGGATGAGGAGAGAGTGTCAGAACTGTAGACAGTGATTGCAAAAACTGGAAGGGTCAAGAGTGACATTCTTGTAAGTTTTCAAGTCAGCAGTTCTTTACATAGCCAGATACACAGGGGCATCTGCTGGGGTAGGGGGCAGCGGTTGTCAGAAAAGTCGGGATGGGAGCTGTGCCATGCAGTTGAAACCTCCCCCCAGGACTTCAGTCATGGACACCACATCACCTTTTTTTATCCCATCCCTGCAAGTACATCTGTGAAAGTAAGGTTTATTTTTTTCCTGGACTATGTCTTGCCTGACTCTACTACTTTAGATCACAAGTAGATAAGGCCATCTTCCCTCCCACCTCACACACCTTGGGTGGTTAAAAATCTTCAAAGGTTTCTTTCTTTCAGCAGAAAAGTTGCCTTTAGGAAAGGGTGTGCAAGACAGTATTGACTGCTTATCATGTGTGCTTCTTCCTTCCTACCTACAGGATTACTGTATGTTGGCTTTAGCGCCTGCATGTTTGGCCTCTATAGCTTCATGCCTGTGGTCATTAAGAAAACAAGTGCTACAGCAGTCAACCTCTCCCTTCTTACAGCAGATTTGTACAGCCTTTTCTGTGGGTTCTTTCTCTTCTACTACAAGGTAAGTGGACTGATCTGTCTATCTGAGTAATTACCACTGTCTTGCTAACAATTTGATATTACATTAACAGTGATAGCATCTCCAAAGTTCACATCATTTCAGTCCAACTTGTTTGTTCTGAATGGTGCTGACACAGCCACCGTACAGCATTCGTCCTCTGTTGATTCTTTTAGAAGTGCGCTCTGCCCTCTTGTCACAGCTGAGTTGTGACCCGTAGTTGTGCAAGCTCTGTGTAACTGCTGGAGGGAGTTTCTGAGAAGTCTTCCATAATCTCAAGACTCCTAAATGAGAATCTAGAGGGAAAAATAGTCCTGTGCTAAATATTCCCAATCTTTCATTTTAAGGGCAAAAATAACCATTTTGATCAAGCAGAAATACACCCACAGTTGTAATGCCTTTCCCATTTTTATGTTTATTTCAATGCCAGTTTTCCTCTGTAAATGAAGCATCTTTCTCCTTGCAGAATTGGTCATGTAAATTATTTTTACTAATCATGGTTAGAATAAGGGGTAGGATACTGCCACATGTAACATTTCATTGCCAGTCAGATTTAGCAGCTGACAATGATTTAAAAGAGGCACTACAGAATGCAAGTAGGTGCACCACCTCGTTAAAACAGCTGTATCTTTAATGTAACTTCTTAAAACATCAATAAAAACCATACAAAATTTCCACTGAAAATTATGAAATTCAGAACTCTAGAATTACATATGATTTATAACATTGGAGGACCAGCCATGTTTGCATGTCTCTATAAGCTAGATTTTCCAAGGGATCTTGCCTTACAGTGTGCATCTGCAGACATTAGTGCTATTTAATGGTTAGAAGTTTAGACTAGGATTGGAAGGACTGGTTAAAAGGCTGCATAGCAGAAAAGCTCATTGGATGCTTTGGGGCTGGTCACTATTTCGCAGCACATTCCAATTCATGGATTTGTTGCTGTGAAGGAAAAAAAAAATAGAGAGAACGCTGCATATGCTCTGTGTAGGAGACAAAGAAGCTAAGGGTTGATAGTGCAGTGTTCACGGGACTCTATATACCTCACAGTACTTCTAAATGGTATCCCAGGCATATTAAAATACCGTACAATTTGGGGGGAGGAGTGAGTTTCCAACACTTCACAAGGTTTCTCTCATTTTCTAATTAAAAAAAAATTGTATATGTAAAGAAATGTCTAAAGAAATTGCCAACCCCAGAAAATAAATAATTTAACTAAAGACCCTGTTGCAGGTTGCACATCTTCATTTTGATGTTCAAAGCAAGATTACTGCACTGTAACAAAAACAAGAACACACTCTTAACATAAGCAAGAACAAATACTGACTTCTTGTTAAGAGGATGCAAGTAAAAAATACTGGTTTTCAGGTCATGGTGAATATACCAGGGAAGCATTTTCTCTGATTTGTGTATGACTCATTACTGGAAGGAGGACTCAACCCAGAGGGTCAAGCAAGGTGGACCAATATGGTTGTTTGTGGCAACTCAAGAGTTGTTGCATCATGACTTATCATGATGTATCAACTCTTCTAGTATGAGAGAAGCAAAAAGCCTGGAAACATGGGGAATTATCTTGATGATTCTGACTGATGTAAGAGCAAATGTAATATCAAAATATGGTCAACATAAGCCAGGTTTTTAAATTGAATGTTTAAATATCCTGCTTGTTCAGATTAATTCTTATGTATAGCTAAGGAAAAGAAGCCGTTATTAAGCACATCTGCTGCATAAGGGCATTTTGAGATTTCTGCAGCTGGACAAAATCGAGTTCCAATTTTGAATTGAATAACCTGGATGTTGTGGATTGCAAGTAACTTAATGTGATATTTTCAACTTGTATCTAGCAGATGCCTTCAGTTTCCTGTGGTGGTGTAATCCGTAGCTTTGTTCTTGTACAAGGAGTGAAAATATCCCTGATCGCTGTAGGCATAAAGCATTAATATTAAATTGCTTGTGTTAATTATCATGCTGAGGATAATTTACTCTGCGTGTTTTCCACCTGCGCTGGTTTCAGCCCAGCTGCTCTTCTCCTCAGCTACATCATCCCTTTTCTTTTGTAATTGTTGACCAATGGACAAAAGCCTCTCTTCAGGGGGGAGCAAATGGCATTACGGTTAATTAGAACCATCTCAGCATTTTAATATCTCTTCCGAAACACAACGTTATAATGCTTTCACGGAGTTGCTGGGCTTTGCTGTCTCTCTCATCTGACCTATAGCAAAGAAAATGGAAATCAAAGAAAATGTAAGGAACTATCTTTATTGAGCTTTGGAAATTAACTGGAAAAGCATTTTAGTGTTCAAAGGGGTTGAATCATCCTAACTTACCATTAGAGCTGAACTTTTCAAGATTTATGATGTGCCTTGCACTTATTAGTGCCAGAGGCTATGTTGGTGCAAAGATGATGAATGCAAAGAAGGGAGAAATATGGCATTATGACTCATGAATAATTGAGGAGATTATTTATAATGTGGGGAATTGCATTCATATTTTATTAGACTATAATGACTTAGGAGTTATGCTTTAAGAAAGTAAGTTCCCTTCAAAAAAACACTCAGAATGAATTTGGTCTTATAAAATCACATGTAACTGTAACTCTCAGTAATTAATAATTGATCTTGCTAGCACACTTACAATGGCCAAGCATCGTCTATTAATCTTTTCTCACACAGCAAAACCACAATAGATAATATCCTCTAGCAGTTTAGTGCTGGTTTTTGTTCACACTACCATCAGAAATACTCTTACCAAAGCAGGATTCATCGTTCATCAGAAATAGTTAAGTATTAAACTCCTGGAATAGAAGTCCTAAAGAGTCATTCTTTATCATCCTTCAGGGAACACCTGAAAAATGGCAATCTAGATAGTTCAGAGCCTTTTCCTCTGTCCTTCAGAACTGAAAGAGGCAGAACATGCTTTCTTAAGCTTACACCTTCATTGTTTTTCAGGACCACATAGAAGATACTGATGAACTTCCTTGTGGTGGTCCACCCCCAAACCTTGACGACCATTAGACAGCAACAAAGAGGGAACATACTCACTCTTTGCTTTCATTTTGTGGTTGTCCAGATCTTTGCAGTTCAGATCTGGTAGAAGTACTTCCTTCTGTCTCTCCCATGGCCTTACACATCTCATACTTCATTCCACACCTACTAGTACAACCTTTCATGATGTCTACCTTTCCTATCCAACACCATATCTAGTGTTATTCCACAGAACTTTCACTTCAGGCAAAAGTCAATTATTTTAACTGCAAGCCCTCCGGTTTGCTCATCCTTCCCTTCTTTCAATGAGGAAAGAAGATGCAATTGTAATTCAAATGACAAAGAAGGCAGGTAGAATGCCTGGTGAGATCTTGTCTGGTAGCCAGAGCATAGTGCTGGCAGTGCTGATGCAGGTTGAAACCAAGACTTCAAGGATCCAGAGCTAAAAGTCCACAAAGTCCAATCTGGAGTTATAGCTATAAGAGACAAGATGCAGGGATGGAAATAGGCAGCCAATGGCATACAGCTCCAGGAAGATGGAGCAAGGCAACAGCAGAGAAAAAGAATGGTCTGTGTCAGGCTAGACTTCCACAAGCTGGCCCACATCATAAAGACCAGAGCCCAAGAGCAGAGCAAGGATACATGAACACAGGCCCAATGATGGAGGGTTGTTTCTAAAGGTGAGCAAGGTTCTAGAGCTGTTCCTAAGAAGCCCCAGTTGCAAGTACAGCTCAATCAAGGGCCTTATCCTTGCTTCCCATGTAACCAAGCAGCTTATCTTGCTCTGGCCTTCAAAGTTGCTGGGACATCCTGGGGCTTAGTGCTCTGCCAGAATCTAAAACTACAGTGGGGCAAAAAAGTATTTAGTCAGCCACCAATTGTGCAAGTTCTCCCACTTAAAAAGATGAGAGAGGCCTGTAATTTTCATCATAGGTATACATAAGTATAAAACCCTCCATAAGTATAAAACCCTCCAAAGGTTTTCCATGGGAGATCTGGAGACTGGCTAGGCCACTCCAGGACCTTGAAATGCTTCAGTCGTCCTGGTCCCTTTGCAGAAAAACAGCCCCAAAGCATGATGTTTCCACCCCCTGTCTGAAGTTTGCTAGAGAGCATTTGGATGATCCAGAAGAGGATTGGGAGAATGTCATATGGTCAGATGAAACCAAAGTAGAACGTTTTGGTCTAAACTCAACTTGTCGTGTTTGGAGGAGAGAGAATGCTGAGTTGCATCATAAGTATAAAACCCTCCAAAGGTTTTCCATGGGAGATCTGGAGACTGGCTAGGCCACTCCAGGACCTTGAAATGCTTCTTACGAAGCCACTCCTTCGTTGCCCGGGCGGATGCAACTCAGCATTCTCTCTCCTCCAAACACGACAAGTTGAGTTTAGACCAAAACGTTCTACTTTGGTTTCATCTGACCATATGACATTCTCCCAATCCTCTTCTGGATCATCCAAATGCTCTCTAGCAAACTTCAGACAGGGGGTGGAAACATCATGCTTTGGGCCTGTTTTTCTGCAAAGGGACCAGGACGAC